TAGCGTGTGTATATGTGTATGTATGGTATATATATATACACACACACACACACACACACATATTGCTGTTGTAGTACATACAATATATAGTATCTTCTACAGATTTGAGTCTCCCTTATCCAGAATTTCTCAAAATACCCCCCAAATCCAAAATTGTCTATTTGGGTGGCTGAGATAGTGACAAACCTTTGCTTTCTCATATATATCAAGGTACACAAACTTTGTTTCATGCACAACATAAAAATTAAAAACACAGTTTATAAAATTTATAAAATTACCTTTAGGCCATAAGGTGCATAAGGTGTATGTTGTTCTTGTTGTTGTGTGCCTTCAAGGTTGACTTATGGCAACCCTATCATGAGGTTTTTCTTGGCAAGGCTTGTTCAGAGAGGGCTTTGCCACTGCCTTCCCCTGAGAAGGCTGAGAGAGTGTGACTGGCCCAAGGTCATCCAAGTGGCTGAATTGGGAATTTGAACCTTGGTCTCCAGAGTCACAGTCCAACACTCAGAACACTATGCAAGGCACCACTGCATCCCAGCTTGGCCTTGGAAACCCAATTGGGTGACCTTGGGCAAGTCACACTCTCTCAGCCTTCTCAGGGGAAGGCAATGGCAAACCTCCTTTGAACAAATCTTGCAACAATTTTTTTTTTGCAAAATCCATGCAGTGCAGAAATAATAAGTAGCACCACACTTTTGAGTGTGTCATTATTATTATTAATATTAATTATTTGCATGCAATAGTGTGCATTCCATACCTGCTGCTCTCAGTCCCAACCCGCACGCCGCCATTTTTAAACCTGGCACTTCCAGGCCTGCCAGGCCTTCCTTTGAACGGGAGCGAAGCCAAGGGAAGAACTGGCAACGGCGGCTCACGAGGGACAAACAGTTGCAGCGTCAGCGGCCGGAACCTTTTCCCCTCCATGAGCGGAGACAGAACCTTTGTCCACCGGGATTGTGTTTCCGATCGGAGCGTATTGGCGACGGACCTATGAGGAATGGGGGACCTGAGAGGAAGGAGCACCGGCTCGTTTTGGGGAAGAGGAAGGAAAGGAGGCAGGCATGGCGGCCCCCGGAGCCCTGGACTCTGCAGGGCGGCTGGAGGCGTGCTTAGAAGTCCTGAGCTCCGCCACTTCCCAGCCCGAGCTCTTCCTCAGGTACACACGCATCTACTTTGCACGTTTGTACGCACGTACACGTGTCAGCATGCGTGTATAAGTGCTTTCTCTCTCTCTCTCAATCTCTCTCCATCTGTGTGTCTCAAACTGTGCATCTATAGTTTGTAGAATTGATCCAGTTTTGTCACATCTGCATGGAATCCTGGGATTGGTAGTTTTCCAAGGTCTTCAGCCTTC